TTTATTTTACATGAGTGTGATTTGTCATATTGAAATGAGGCATTTCAATTTAGAATAAAATCTTATTTCTTCAAAGCAAATGTTTGAGGTCAATCATAAAATAGTAAAAAATCATAAATGCAATATTTAAAATGAATTAACTCATTACTTGTTTTGAATCTATTTTGTGCTAAGATAAATATTTTTAGTTGAGACTGATTAATGAGGAAGGAACAATTCACACAGATCTTCATTCTTTAATATTAATATATTATCTAACATAAAACACCAACTGCTACTCATTTGAGAATTTTGAATTCCATGAACATACAATATTATGTATAGCTAATCTTAAATTGTAATGAATGATCATGAGATTGAATTTTCCTATAACCTTGTCCATGTTTTTCTCTCTGGCAGAACCATCTTTCGTACTGTTCCTTTTTGTTTCTCTTACTCATTTGTAGCCAGTACAGCAATTGATAATATATTTAAATAATGAACGGAGTCCCTAGGTTAATCCTAAGCTCACAGAAGGCCAGTGTGCACTCCATGTCATTCCTTCAAGCTGCCTTTGGACTCCAAGATGGTAACGTTTAGAATGAGGAATGAAATAAATAATTTGAAGGTTTGGAATTACTTTGAGAATTACTGTTGAAATTTGTAATTATTTTGAGAGCTTTTCTTTGAGAGAAGAACAGGAAAAGTATGAGAAAAAGTGGTACAGAGGAGAGAAGAAAGATGAGACTTTGGTGTCTTTGGCAATGGAAACCAAAATAAGATATACTGGGTTTCAGTATGGTAATGCTCTTAACATTGTGTCAGGGGTTACCAAAGAATATTGGGAAGAAGCAGCTCAAATTTCTACATTAGAAAAAGACTGCTTTTTATCACCTTGATTATTTCTAGATTCCTTTGAAGTACTTTTAAGCTCAAACATTTCAAATTTGTAGAAGAGTATACTACATATATCTTTACACTCACCCCCTAAATATGACTTATGTTGCATTTTATCCAGTTTTTTAAAAACAAAATAGATAGTATTACAGAATCGGCTTCTTTCCTTTCGCCTCATCCCCCCTCTGTATCCTTCCCTGGAAGTAATCATTATCCAGAAGTTGGTGTATGCTCTTCTCATTAATGTCTTTATATTTTTACTGTAAACACTTAAATGTTTCCTTTATCTCTTGCTAGATAACAAACCACCACCAGAGTTGTCCAGTTCATTATTTCTTGTAACTCTGTGGATTGATTTAGCTCGTCTGGGTAACTCTCCTGCCCCATGTGGTAGAGGTGTAGGTCATTCATGTAGCTTGCTCACCTGGGGCGTTCAAGATGGCTTCTTATCTGCCAATCTCTCTCTGTGGCCTCTCATCTTTACAGTTTCTTTTTACTATAGCAGCTGGGAGAAAGCTGAAGAAGCTATCTGTTCCTTTTCTTTTTTTAAATAATAATAATTTATTGTATTTTATTGTGAAAGTTTGCAAATTAGCATCCCATTTAACAATTACTACCCAAATTATTCAGTGACCTTGGTTCCATTTTTTTCACAGTGTGTCAGCATTCTCATTAGTTCCATTCTGGATGTTTCCTTTCCAGTAATGGTGTCTCTGTCCCCTTACCTTTTCATCTTTCCTTTAGAGTAATTGTTGACTGGTCACATGTAGGTGATTTTTTTTTTAAGATGTGCGGTACTCACAGGTGCTATTCTTTATTGTGAGTCAGTCTGTTAATTTAACTCAACTGTCTGATCTTTTAAAGGCTAGGTCTGACATTTGGAAACGTGTCATCTTTGTAGCATTTTTTTGGTTCAAGCAAGTCACAAAACCAATTCAGATTATAAGAGAGGAGAGAATGACTTCCCCTCTTGATGTGAATAGTGGCATAGAATTTGTGACCATCTTTAATCCACCATAGTTAACTCTGGCCACAGATTATTTACATCTCTCCCATTTGCAAAATGCACTCACTCTCGCAAAGGCCCCTAAAGTCTCATTCAATACAGCACCACGCTGGTCCCTTTTTATCTGTATCAGGTCCAAAAGCACATGTGGTTCCTTGGAACAGTTTCTTCAGGTACCGGTGCTTTGGTAATGGCACTTCTTGAATCAGAGACCGGGTACTAAAAAGACAAGTTATCTGTGCTGCACATCCCCATTGCACAGTCGTGAGACAGGAAGAGGAAAATCTCAGTAAAGACTTCCACTTAGAAAAGTCTAAGGAGTGCATGGTAAATAGCAATCCCTGGTCCACAGTAAAGGAGCTCTGGTGGTAGCACAATGGTGAAAGCATTTGGCTACTAACAAAAAGGTTGGTGGTTCAAACCCACTAGCCACTCCGTGGGAGAAAGATGAGGCAGTCTCCTTCCATGAAGATTTATAGCCTTGGAAACCCCATGGGGCAGTTCTGTTCTGTCCTGTAGGATCACTATGAGTTGGAGTCAACCTGATGGCGGTGGGTGGGTCCATAGTAATTCTGAAGTCTAGCTAGGCGTCGTAGTTAGGGCCCTTGCTCTTTTTTGATTAGGAGCAACCAGTTCTCTGTGAGCCTGCCCTCCTTTCTCATGGGAAATGGGCTGTGCTTGCAGCCGAGTACATTTCTCAGCCTGCTTTCTGCTTGTAGAAATTTGGGAGTACAGAATCCACCTCTTTTTGCTTTTAATCTGAGCCAGATCAGCAAACTACACCCCAAGGGCCAAAGGTGCCTCACCCTGTTTTTGAGTGTCCATGAACTAAGAATGGTTTTCCTATTTTTAAAGGCTTGTTAAAAAAAGAAAAAACAAAACAAAACAAAACAAAAAAACCCAGAAGAATCTGTGGGAGATTCTGGGTGTGGCCCATAAAACTGAAAATATTTACTATCAGGCCTGTTTTAATAAAATTTGCTGACTTTTGGTCTCATAAGCATAACTCATATGGAGCCCAGGCCTTCTGTTAGCCAGCATATCCTAAAGATAGCAAACCCCGGATGTCCAAACTGAGTTCTTTCTTCAAAATCCTAATCAAATAGATTCCTCCTATTTGGGGCAAAGGAGCTCTGGTAGCATAGTGCCTAAGGCATTTGACTGCTAACCAGAAGGCTGGCGGTTCAAACCCACCAGCCACTCCTCGGAAGGAAGGTTGGGC